CACTTAGTGCCGTGGCGACAAGCGTACCATCAAAGAGAGCGTTTTCGACAAGTGGTAACATCATTACAGCTAAGCGCAGTTCTTTAGCATCTGAGCTCGTTCGTGATCTGGTGTTTATTGCCGAAAATGCTCGCAGGATGAAGAAAATATTTGATACCTCCACCTAGACTGTTGCTAATCAAGCAAGAAAACCAAGTTCAATACAATTTTGTTGAAACCATACTACATTGGATACTGTATACATCAACTGCACTTGTCTTAAAAGGCCTCATTGTTTTGTTTCAGCTTCTTTTTTTTTTGAGAATGTTTAAAAGGCTTCATTGTTTTGTTTAAGCTTCTCTTTTGAGAATGGCCAATGTATCATTTCGACTATGTCGATCGTGCATCGGTGCTTGCCCAGAACAGTAGATTCACTCACAAACCAGCCCGATCCTCGAGGTCAGCTCTCTCGGGATGTGTCTCGAATGCCAACATGAGAAATGGTTTTGACGGGCAATATCGCTTAGGCCAGTACCGCGCTGTCCTCGCTCAGTTGAGTTGAGTTCACTGGATCCATTGTTAAGTCCCCTGAAAGACTTATGGAAGGGATTGCCGCCCGTATTGCGATTATTTTGAACGGCTATCCTGCTATTCGCCATGCTGATTAATCAGCCTCTCGCAGTTTCCGAGCGCACTGGGCGTCATATACTGAATGCTACCTGGTATTATTAAACTCTCCTTTGAATAAATATAATCGGTATCCCCAATCGACCTAGTTGCTGTGAAATAAATGGCCCTCGTTGTGAAAACTGTCGTGAAGAAAGTTTGCAGCGCTAGTAGGATGTGATCATTGTCTCTTAGGGAGCAATCGCAGCGGTCTGGTAGATACTCTCTACTAGGGAGACAAACGGCAGGAGTGCTGAAGAACTGAAGAAGTGACTTGTTCACTTCATATGTGGACCACATTAATGGAGGCAATGGAGATTTGAAGCGAGATTCATGTTAACAAAAGGCAGGATAGGTT